AAAGGCTCTATATGGGCTCAAACAAGCACCAAGAGCTTGGTACAATAAGATAGAGACATACTTCATGAGCAATGGCTTCGAAAGATGTTTTTGTGAACATACATTATTCACAAAATCAAAGGGAGGTAACATTTTAATTGTGAGCTTATATGTAGATGATTTAATATACACTGGAAATGATGAGAGCATGTGTGATGATTTTAGAAGATCTATGATGACAGAATTTGATATGTCAGATTTAGGAAGAATGAGATATTTCCTTGGAGTAGAAATTTTGCAACATACAAATGGAATTTTTGTGTGTCAAAGGAAATATGTTCAAGATGTGTTGTCACGCTTCGGTATGAAAGACTGCAATGCAGTGAAAAATCCTATTGTACCAGGTACAAAAATGTCAAGAAATGATACAGGACCCAAAGTGGATGCTACTTTATTCAAACAAGTGGTTGGAAGCCTAATGTACTTGACTACTACACGTCCAGATATAATGTATGGGGTGAGTTTAATTAGCAGATTTATGACCAATCCTACAGAGAATCACTGGCTTGCTGCTAAAAGAATACTAAGATATTTAAAAGGTACTGCTGAATTCGGAATCTACTACAAGAAAGGAGAGAGTACTGCTATAACAGGCTACACAGATAGTGACTTTGCTGGAGATATTGATGATAGAAAAAGTACATCAGGTTTTGTATTTTTTTTAGGGTCTGGACCTGTCTCTTGGTCATCCAAAAAACAACCGGTGGTTACTTTATCTACAACCGAAGCCGAATATATAGCAGCTGCATCTTGTGCTTGCCAAAGTATATGGATTAAGAGAATTCTGGAGACTCTTGGCTTCAAAAATCAAAGTAAAATTCTGGTGTTATGTGATAGTAATTCAGCCATTCAACTGTCCAAAAATCCAATCTTCCATGGTAGAAGTAAGCATATAGATATAAGATTTCATTTCTTAAGGGATCTTGTCAAAGATGGAAGCATTGAACTAAGTCATTGCAACACCCTTAAAGCTAGAGCAATTCCTAAAACTCAGGAGCATGTTAGGCATGATTGAAGCATCTGAAGTAAACTAAATGTTTATTAGACATTTAGTTTAAGGGAGGGAATGTTAGATATTTTGTGTTTTGTTATCTTTTAAATTGCTGTTAATAAAAGGGTCAGTTACGACCAAGTATTTAGGAATGGAGCTATTTTTCAGCTCATTAGTTTTACAGTTACTTCAACCCACATCTCCTACGTGAAATCAGTGGGTTAGTTTCTATTCTGTTTCGATTCCTTCCTATAAGTTTGTATTCTCTTCCAGAATTCAGTGAAAACATAGAAAATAGAGAGAAAGAGCATTTTTCAGTTTTATTATCGGTCTTTTGTTCACAATTAGTAGGAATTATGTTCAGTGGGCCCAATTCATTTCACTCACATTAATGCAGTGGTTGTTTCTATTAATGTCCTGTAGTCAAAGAATTGGGAGAGCGGATTTGAAAGTGTGAATTGTGTTTGCATTAAGCAGATTTAAGAAGAAAGAAGAGGAGAGAGTTGAATCACTGAATGGTATCAACCCCATCTATGCGATGAAATGCATAGAAATAACTCAAAATGACTAACATGCCCCTTGTTTGTCTCACGTTCTTGCAACAATGTGTTGAGACATATTTGTTTTCCTTTTTTGGTTCATCTTTTTGTGTATATTATTTAGAGTAGGATTAAGGGTTTGCGTAACATCTAAAAAACTATCACGTAAATTTTTTTAAAAACAATATATTAAATTATAATATTTTTAAACAATTTAAATAGTTTATAAAAAAAACTATTTGTTAATATATATATATATATATATATATTAATTTTTAAAAATATTATTATTTAAATTATTAATAAAAAGAAATAATATTTATTAATTAAAAAAAATATATATATATATATATATTATTAAAAAACAAATAAATAAATATCTATTAAACATAAATTCTTATTTATTACTATGATTGTTACTATTGATTAAAAATAATAATAATAATTTTTGAGATGTTATATTTCTTCCATGCTTACGAAATTTCATCCTCGAAATTTTATTGATTAAAATAGATGAGGGTAGTTTCTCTAATTTTCTTTTCTAATTCCCACATAGCATTTATAGTGATTTCATTCCAAATGAACTTCACTAGTGAGATTTGATCATAGTATCTGTAATCTGGATAGATATTGCTTCAAATGTAAGGTTATCATTTAATTGTAATATATCCGGTATTATTACATGAAAAAGATCATAAATATATTTTTTTGAGACACATGGAACACATTATGAAGATTAGAAAGAAAAGAAAGATAAAAAAATTTGATAAGCAGCAAGACCTATTTCTCTAAGAATTTGATAAGGGTCAATAAATCGAGGAATGAGTTTCTTCGATTTCATTACTCTACCAACTCTAGTTGTAGGTATTACTTTTAAGAATGCATGATCACCTTCTTGGAATTCAAAGGGTTGTCTTTTTTGTCAGTATAACTTTTCTGTCGACTTTGAGCTTTTAATTTTTCCGGAATCATCTTAATTTTCTCCGTGGTTTGTTGGAGTAGTTAGCCAATTCATGCAAAATCCTTGTATCGATCACAGGGATGTTTTGATTTGCATTCTAAGATATGTTAAAGGAACTACAAAACAAGGATTGTTATATAAAGATAAAGATAATACTCAAATCCTAGGTTATTGTGATGCAAATTAGGTTGATTGTCCCATTGATAGAAGATTTACTGCTAGGTATTGTAACTTTATTGGAAGGAATATGATTTCTTGGAAGAGTAAAAAACGAAGTGTTGTTGCTCGATTCTAGTACAAAAAATGAGTATAGATCTATGGTGCTTGTTGCATGTGAACTTGTGTGGATCAAACAACTCCTTCAAGAATTAAAATTCGATGATAATGAGCATATGAAATTGTTTTGTGATAATCAGACGACTCTCCATATTGCCTCCAACTCATTGTTTCATGAAAGAACAAAACATATTGAGATTCATTGTCATTTTGTTAGAGAAAAGTTATTGTCTAAGGAACTTGTAAATAAGTGTTTAAGCTCTAATGAGCAACTTGCGAACATTTTAACAAAATCCTTGAGAGAACCTAGGATTCAGTTCATATGTTCCAAGCTTGGTGCATACAATCTATATGCTCTACCTTGAGAGAGAGTGTTCAGACATGTTTGTTTCCCTTTTTGGTTCTTCTTTTTGTGTATGTTCCTTAGACTAAGGTTAAGGGTTTGGGTTGAGGCTCATATCCTCTCTTTTGTATCCCTTTTCTATAAATACAATTGTAACAATACCTTTAGACATTGTATTAGAACCCTAAATAGTTTTCTCAAGTAGCTGCAACAACACACTGTGCATGGCCATGCACATTGAACAAACGTTTCCTGCACTGTTTACACATTTAAACGCATATCGTGAACCATTGCATTCTTTGTGTATAAATACACTCATTGCCACAGTGAAGATTGCGGATCATCAAAATTGGAACAATGACGATTCAAGCATCATAACATGGATGTGGACTCCATGATTGCAAAGATTAGGAAACAAAACCCTCAAGTGATCCCAACTAGAAAAAGATAGGAAAGATATTTTTTAATTCAATACAGTACAAGGATGTTCAATTTAGAGAATGCTCTAGAGCACCTCAACTACCCTAGTAATAATTATGGCACCTCAACTATGTATCACCTAAAATACCTAGCACCTCAACTATCCTAATTAATACAACTCTTGTAAACCAAAGATACTTGTAACTACACAATTCTATTTCTTAGGTAGGCTGAGGAAATGACTGCTTCACCCAAAAAATGACTTAGTATATTAGTTAATAGTGTTAAGGTTCCAACATAAAATCAATTGGCAATATGTGAAGTAGCCTAACATGTATTTAAACCATACCAAATGACATGAGACTTCCAAGACACCCCCTCCAACGAAGCCTGCCGGACCAGACAAATGGTACTTTGACCCACAATGAAAGGGTAACTCTTGGCCCAAGACAATAACCGAAAAAATGTTAGGTTTTGGCTCTGATACCATGTTAAGGTTTCAACATAAAACCAATTAGCAATATGTGAAGTAGTCTATCATGTATTTAAACCATACCAATGACATGAGGCAGGTGATGTGGGACTTCCAACAAATAGCATGAGTGGTCTAGTAACTTCCATGAGGTGTTTATTCTCCCATTTTGCAATCGCATTTTGTTATGGTGAGTTCACACATGCAGTTTAGTGCACAATGCCATTCTTGAGATGGTATTCACCAAGAAAATTATGGAGGTACTCCTTCCTATTATCTTCACCAATACTAACTTTTCTTTCATAAGGAACACCCATAGATACAACCCTAGTGTGATCATCTATGAATGATACAAACCACTTTGAGCCCATGACATTGTAACTTGAGAAGGTGCCATGCACCGTTGAATTAATGAAAATGGGATTGATGGTTACAGCTGGTTAGGATAATGAATTTGGTATGTTTGGCTAACTCACATACCTCACATTTGAACAATTGGAATTTTTATTGAATAAAGAGGGAGACAACTTTTCCAACTAAGCAAAATAAGGGTAATCTAGGAAATCATCTTTGGAACAAACCACATGGGCAGTCTTGATGCTAAAAGAATATAGGCAAAGGGTCTGTTTGGATACAAGCTAAAAGCACTTTTAAGAGTTTATTTATTCAAAATATAGAGTTTTTTCTAGTAGAGAAGCTCTCAAAAGCTCTTCTAGTTTGTATCCAATCAAACACACAATATAGCATACATGAATTTGAAAAAATGCGTTAATTTCAGACCAAAAGGAAGTTATGATTTGTGATTGTACACATGTAATCCTTAACAAAATCGGATATTATGTATAAAAATATATATCAATAAAATAACCAAGAGAATGTGGGAATGTGTTGCATATCACAACTATAACGAGGCAAAAATTGAACAAAATACAAAGGCAGATTCCAAGAGATGACAAAGTTCACCAAATTAAAGAATTCAGACAAAAAGAAATTACATGCAATACCTTAATTTGGTCTCCCTCAAGAATCAATGAATTTTTATGCACATCTGATGCCATGGACTCTATCATCAGCTTGAATACCTTTTTACTCATGTTTGTTTTCATAAAGATCATCTTCCCTGAAGAGTAAATTCTGGTTATCCCTAAATCAGCCGACATTCTCCTCAAGTAAAGCTTCTTTAGTAAAATCTCCATGGAACGAGGCTCTTTGCCATATTGGCGCCGCAAATTCTCTGTAAATTGCATCAGACTCCAGATGTCTTTCTCAGCAACTCTCTCAGCATCACTTACTATTTTCATCGGGTTCTCCAGATAATTAATGTAGTCAGACGGGAGATGAGGATTTAGGTCTATGTCAACCTAAATAATAATCAAGTAGAAAATGCATCAACAACATCATCACAATTATTTGCATTTATACAGATGCAATACAGATTATACCGACATAAAAACAAAGACACTGCAAATGAAGAGAACACCAGCAAGAATATTATCAGGACTATTTTGGTGTAGGAATTTTCAACCATGTTTTAACTAAAATACTTAGAAAAGCAAAAACAAATGGTCCCTTACTTAATAGAACAACATATTAATCCAAAACTTTGTCTGAATAATGAAAGAATAAAAAAAACTCCCAAAGAAAATAAGAACGAGTTATGGAACTCTAATCAGCATTCAGATAAACATGTATCAAGCATTAATTATTCTAATATTTTAAATTCTCTGTAGGACGTCAAGTATACCTGCACCGAGTGATAAGGAACTGAAACAACACAGTGATCTTCAACCTGGAAGTGAAAAAAGAATAGGATAAACCCAAAACTAATAGACAGATGATCAAGCACTACAGAGAAAAACGCTAAATAAGTTTTCACTTTTCAGCCAACAAACAGTGCATGCAAATTAATCAAAAGAATTTTTCAATTTTTACTGAAAGTCTAGGACCAATGGTACATAGGTAAAAAAACAAATCACAAATCAAAGTCTACCTTCGACAAGCTCTCAAAGAGCATCTCAAAAAACAGATCAATACCAACATTTCCAACATCTCCTGACTGTTGTTCACCAAAAATTGCACCAAAACCTCTTATACCCATGTCTTTCTCAGCTAGTTGGAAGCCTTGACCAAGTTCACGACATTCTTCAATAGCAGCAAGCCTTTCCTGGGAGCGCATCAAGGAGAATATTGGTTTTAAGCAATTGTTTAGCATCTAATTTTCTATATTTCAAATGAAAGAATCACTTTAGTTATAGGAATATTACTGAGTACGGAATATACCAAGTTACATGACATTTGTTTGATGTATCTGATGAATCAGATATTATTTTGTGCAATATGTTCTACAAATAAAAGGTAAAGATTGATAAGAAACATACCAATGCTTGATCAGAAAGCAGGCCTTTGTCAGGGTAAAATAAGTACGCATGTGCTTCCTTATCTGCTCGCCCAACTCTTCCACGCAACTATCAATATTGAACAAATGAAAAATTAACAATATTAGTGAAACAGTAACATATGATCTTGCGTGGTCTGATTTCCTGGGTTGCAACAAAAAAATTGAAAAACTTAAAAGAATGTCTGCCTACAAGCTCTTTCTTCTACATCTGAATAACAACTTTGTAAATATTCATTCATTGCTACGAGCTACATCATCATATTTATCATGCATTAACTATCCCAAAAGCCTAATCTATAAGTTGAAAGCTCAATAATGGTTTAAAATCTCTAATATGTCCCTCGTACTACAGTCCTTTGAACTTTATGTGACGCTACTTGGCAAGAGATATTCAGCCTTTAATGATGGGTAATTCAGATGTTTTTAGAAAGGCAGTGCAGAATGTGGAATTACCCAACTTAGATGGACCAGATCTAATGGATGGGTGGCCAAGGCTGAAAGGTTTTTATAAGTTCAGAAGACAAACTAAACCAAAGGTCAAGGTGTCCATCGCCTCCATTTCTATGGAAGGGACGTTCATACACTAGATTAGTTTTTTGATGAGAAGATTACCGGAGATGACATAGGTGGTTTTCGAAGTAGAATTATTGAAGTTTTCTAGTCGCGTAACAGAATACATATGAACATTACATTAGCAGACTTTTATTAAATTGAATCTGTGGAGTTTTCCCAGCAATTTGAAATGTTATTGGTTTAATTAATTTAGATTCCAGAACCATGGGCTTTGGATTATTTTATGAATCACGTGAATTATGTGATCAGCAGAAAAATGAGAACTCATGATCTGCAACTCTTCCCAGAGGCATCATTTAGCCATAAAGATTAAGAATGAATTGTATGGTGATAGTATGATGCTGGGTTCAAAAAAATTGAAATCCTCAACTTCCTGTTTGGTGGTCAGCTGTTTCTGAGCAAAACCCATTGAAGGAGAAAACTTTAGTTCTATTTCTTAATTCAAACAGTCAGAAAGTACATTATATAGAGAACTGTACTAACCTAGAAATAATTACATTATTTAATAATGACTCGTATCCCTACAATATCTTTACAATAATTGATAATATCTTATTGTAACTCAACACATAGTATAAAAAAGGGTTAGTCCTTTTGCCTTAAGCATCACATCAATAAGCATGAGACTATTATTCATAGTCTCCTTTTCCCTCTTTTCCTCCTCCTTTATCAAAATCCATGTAATTCTGACATTTAACAGTCAATTTTTTCCATGGTTATCAAAAACAGGCTTGTTTGAAACAATATTAAGTTGATAGTGGAAGATCCAACAATTACTCTAGCAGAGGATCTGAAATATGAAAAATAAATGCTTGATGATCTAATGATCTGTATTCATGAAAGTATCAGTTCATGCATTATAGCTGCTGACAGTGCAATGTACAAAAATGTAATAACAATAACCAGTTCTAAACAATGTTTGGAGTATGCAACAAAAAATACGAGAACATCTAAACCAAATTAATAGAGTGAAATTAGGAAGACAAAACCTGGTATAACTGTGCAAGGCCAAATTGCTGAACATCCTGAATGATAATGGTATTTGCATTTTGAATATCAAGCCCACTTTCTACTATATTTGTGCAGATAAGGATTTTTATTTCACCTAGAGCAAACTTCTCCATGGTATCCTCTAATTGCTTTGAGAACAGCTACACCAGAAAAGCAGTAAAATGCATAATTAAGTCAAACTGTCAATGTCAACAGTTTACATATATTATGCATAAATACACTTTTGATAAAACACAATTAAATTCTGGAGTGACCAATCCAGACAGAGATTTTCATCATAATAAAGAATAAATTTTGGACTGAGTATTTATATGATTCACAAGTGCCATCAAAAGATCCGGGAGACATTTATCATGGTAGAGGCAGTGTGTGTACCACTCCATTATATTTGAAGTAGCATTATCACCTTGCATTGCTAAAAGGGAAGAAGTGAACTTGTATGAGTGAAGCATATCTACTTTTGTTATACAACTAAAATTGCACTTCATGAAATGTTCTTGACAAAGCAGCCAACCAGCATCCACTATATTTGATGACATGTCAATCACTTAAAATGCTTATAATTGTTAATAGAATGACAAGCAACAAGTACAAAATGTGTATGCGAATATCCCTGATATAGTACTTCCCACACATGGATGGGAATGGATGGACAATCAGATCAGATTATATTGCAACATCCTAAAGGTAGAAACTTGTCATACCAAACATATATATTTGTTAATATCAGAGATATTGAAAAGACTCTTGCTTGCAGAACTAAAAGGTTTGTTTCAATAATTTAAGGAGAGTAGCAATATCAATAGAGTCATCTCAGATATGTAAATGCTAAGTGAATACATGCATATAAAGCGTGGGTGTAAACCGTTGGCTGTAACAAAGCCTGGAAACAGCAGGGAAGACAAAGATCTCTTCATAACACTCCTTCTGTTCCAAAAATGATAATCTTTGAAGGTTGTCACACACTGATTAAGAAATACTCAATTAATAAAATTTAGACAAAAATACCTTTATTCAACTAATCTAGTATCTCTTTTCAAAGTGAGTGGTGTTTTATATTGATTATTGCTAATTATATGTAGAGGTATTGCTGGAAAAATAGCTTTAAAAAGCTAGAAGAAATATTATTTTGGAACAATAACAAAAGCTAAAATGACTATTTTTTTAGAATGGAAGGACTATCAAAATACAAATAACTGTCATATTTTAATTACTTATCCACCCACACAGAGTTGCAGAGTAAATGTATTCAGTCAAAACTAACATGCTTCACACCTTAGCAAACAGTGTTGTATTATATCTAGCTTCAAGATTCAAACATAAAATTAAGAAAATTCATTTAGACAGATTTTATAGACTTGTACTAAAATCAGTTGTAAAGCTTGTAAACTGACAATTAAAGGCACAAATAATTAAGTAATTTTGACAGATGTTTTATGCACTACTTCACTGATGTTTAACTTAAAAACCCTATTTGGAGATCTGCTTGACAGTCCTACGTGGCTTCATAAATGTATGCACTAGACGCTTAAAAAGTTGTGACTACCAACCTTCCCATGGGCAATGGCTATTTCCACATTCGGAAATGACTCTACAAGAAATGCCATTACTTCATCAAGCCCTGTAACACAACAATTATTAAGAAGCCAGATTCAGTACTGTAATAGACATTAGGCATACTAGCAAATATACATTAACAGCAACACCAGGAGTAATCTCCTTTTAAGACTGTGATGGTCATGTAATAGTGTAATTCTTTTTGTGGCAGGTGCAACACCAAATGTGCACAAAAGTATTCACACTTCAAAATATATATGGTAGTGAGTCATATGATGGAATCCCTGTGTGTCTACACAATAGAGGAACAAATACACACACACACACACACTCGTACCAATACAAAAGAGATGGGCCTAGGCCCATATATTACAATCTTCATATAATTACATCTAACACTCTCCCTTAAGCATTCACATATAAATCATATCCACCAAGCTATAATTATATAATCAATTCTAGGACCCCACAATGATTTGGTGAAGACATTTGTCAACTGATCATTAGAGCTAACGAACTGAATAATAATGTCTCAAAATACAATCTTTTCTTGGATGAAGTGACAATTGATATCAATAAGTTTGGTCCTCTCGTGAAACACTAGATTTGAGGCACTATGAAGGACAACTTCGTTGTCACAAATGAGTGTCATTTGTATAACCTCTCCAAATCTCAATTCTTTAAGTAACTATTTGAGTCAAATAAACTCGTAGGTGATAGAGGTCATAATTCTATACTTTACTTCTACACTAAATCTTGTCACTACATTTTGTTTCTTACTTTTCCAGAATATTAAATTGTCACCAATAAAAACACAATATCCATAAGTGGATCTCTTGTCATAAGGAAAGTATGCCCAATCTACATTTGTATAACCCAAACTTAAGTGTGATTATTGTGTCCAAATATCAATTATCACTTATATGAGATAATCAAGTTGTAGCCTCAAATCAAGTATTACATGAAACAACAAAACATATTGAAGTTGATTGCCACTTTGTTAGAGAAAAAGTCATATGTGGAGAAATATCTACTAGCTTTTTTAGCTCTCATGACCAATTATATTTACTAATGTAAGAAGCTTAGGGCATATGACCTATATGCTCCAACTTGAGAAGTGTTAGAATCCAACATGTGATATTAGGATCAATTAGATTGATTCGATATTTATTTTATTAGCCTAAAATAGGGAAACTGAATATTCCATAATTATGTTGTAATGATGTTTTTTCCCTATTAATTGAATAGCTTCGTTGTGTTCTAAACACACGGAATTCATCATATGCCTCCTCGGTTTTTGTCTTCTCCACAAAAACATGCTTTTTTCATTGACAAATGAAAACCCTATCTACAGAACACTGAAGAATAATCAGCCACAAGAGTGATATGAACAACTTTTACTATCAAACATAGAAGGTATTGCATAAGGTAATGATAGGTCTTATTTTCATACTTGGATTGCACAAGGGTGATATGAACAACAATACATAAGCTTACACACAGATGTCAGTATAGAAATTAGTAGGCTAAAATTCACCTTTAATACGTGGCAGAACATAAAATACTTGACCACCACGATCCAGCTCATACTTGATGGCTGATATTACTTTGTCCTCACTGAATGAAGAAAGGTGAGTCTTGATAGGAACTCTTTCTGGTGGTGGAGTTGTAATTAAACTGAAACAAAAATTTATAGAAATTATATTATATAGCATTATACTTAAGCTCAGAGGTTAGGTGATCTTAATCATGTTCTTAGGTTCAATAGGAAGGGCCAAACATGCAATAGAAGAAGTTACCAGCTAAGCACTCAACAAAGTGCAATGCTAGACAAAACTAGAAACAGAAGATTAAGGGGCAAAAAAAATGGTAAGGGCATTTCTAAAACCAATTTTACTATTACATAGATTTGTGTTTAAGATAATTTTTCATTATTCTAGGGAGTTGATGAACCAACTCCTGATAACTAAGTTTCATTTATGCCTTTCACTCTAGATTTTTCTTATGTAACATTACTGATATCCTGTAATACACAATTTTGGGGGAAAAGGAGGTTGGGGGCAAGGGGAATAACTTAGCATTCAATATAGATGGCTTCATTGTCCCTTCACTTCTTTTTTCTAGCTTTTAGGATGAAATACATCCTCATTGTGAGCGGCATAGACAACTTGAAAGAGTTGTCAACAAACAACTCTCTCAGAAGTTTAAGCTATCAAGCATCAGGCATCAGGTGAAGGCTTATGAATGGTTTTATTCTTCACATCAAGAGTGTCTGATTTACAAGCCACTGTACCTTGTGCTAAAATTTAACTTCTCATTTATAATAATGAGGGAAGGTTGAATCAAACTCTTGATCATTTGGTCATAGAGGCCTAAATACCATGTCAAGAAATAAATCTTCCAAAAGCCTAACAAATGGAGTTAAGGCTTATGAATGGTCTAGTATCTAATACTTAAGACTGAAAAATATGATAAAGGAGCTTAAGAGATTAATTATCTCTTAGCTGATCCATTTATAGGAAAAAAATACATTAGGATTACAAGGTGTGTTGAGGCAAAGGGCTACATCTAGGTGTCAGAAGCTAACAAGTAAAACAGCTTTTTAGAGGAGATAAGTTAACCTATCTCAACAAGTTCACTAATAAAAATATATATTCTAACACTAATGGACCAAATCCCAACATAAACAAACTTCTACTAAAGCAACTTAAACTTCTGCTAATTTACCATATAATTTGGAATATCAATTATATCATAATTCGGTATAGTACCCTCACTCTATCTTGCTTACCCACTACAGACATCAATAAAACATGCACAACAATACCTGATTAAGTGAGCAAAAGAAAAAGAATATTCATCCTATTTCATCAACCAGATATTTGATAACTTTTTCCCATTAATAATGTGAAATACAGATTCATCATAACACTTTCTGTTCAATACCAAGACCAAGTTAATCAAGGTCAAAGAATCTTCCTTCATAATTTGTGAAAGGCTATTTACCTGGCATCACGGAACCCTGTTAATGCTAAATAAAGAGTTCGTGGTATGGGGGTTGCAGATAAAGTAAGTACATCCACAGATGTTTTAAAAGAAGCAATCTTCTCCTTCTGTTTGACACCAAACCTCTGCAAGCAATAAATTGTTGCTCAGTAAGGAGGGAGGGGTGAGTACCACTGCAGTTAAAAAAAGAAATCATGAAGCGGATAATTTGTAAACCTGCTCCTCATCAACCACAAGCAGACCAAGATTGTTATAAGTAACACGATCTCCTAGGAGTGAATGAGTCCCAACGATGATATCCAGGCTACCATTCTTAATCATGTCCAAATTGTCTTCTTTCTCTGCTTTGGTCTGCAAGTTGAGATAAGTGAAATAGTCTATAATTGATATAGAACTTGTACATTATTCACAAATATCCACCTAGAACAATGATGCAGTTCATATTTGATTTGATTGACCTTAATATTTTTCCAAATTTTTCAAGTTCCTACAATGTCCATATGCTTCCACTTTATAAGAAAAGTTTGTAGCATGAAAAAGGAGGAGCAAGACATCCAGTTTCTGAATATTATAATACTATGCACTACTGAATTTAATATGCGGGCAAATAAGGGCAATAATACATATTGTACCACCATAGAGAAGTTTAAGATTTATTAAAGGGTTAAGCATATGATAGCATTCATAAACAGCTTGATAAAATGCATTAGCCAAATCAGAAGAAAGAAACCTATACGAACTATCACATAAAAATAATGTAGGACACTATAGACACACAAAGCAAAATAAAGAGCCATACTCCATAATATATCCAATAAGAGGATAACTGCAATGACTATCGAATATAGATATTAATCCATAATATATAAAAGAAAAATCAGAATGTAGAAATGAACACCAAACATCAACAACAATTAGAGGTGTAAATGATTTATGACTGTTGATTAACTAATTTAAGCATATATTTAGTCCATGGACAAGCAATAAAATTAATCATTTCTAATCGTAAAACAGTATCACAGTCATAGGGACAAAAGGCATGCATATGCAATAAGGTAGCTAAAGTCAGACACTACCAAGGTGATGTTCTGGATAGGGCATTTGACACAAGGTAGATACTAAAAGGCCATCAAGTTTATCCAATAAATAACAATTGTGTCGTTAGTGCTCAGAAATGTTATAAATTAGCATTTATTCAGTTCAGATCTGATCATGGTTATAGTCTATAGGATAGTTCAAATATACTGATGCTGATTCAAGTAGATTATCATTAGAGAGCACTTATTAACAATATACTGTTATTTGACTATCAAAGAAATTTAATTATATTAGTGAAATTTCTTCTCTGTACTGTGTAACACTAACGACTAATTGAATTTAACTATGACTAAAATGGAAAAATTACTCAATCATACCTGGAACCTGCTTAGTAGCCCAACCTTGATATCAGGGTATACAGAAAAGCGCTCTGAAATAACATCAAAATGTTGTTTGGCTAGAACTATAGTTGGTGCCAGAACCATCGCTTGTTTTTTAGCTGAGACAATACAGAAGATAGCACGTATTGCAACCTCGGTTTTACCAAAACCAACATCTCCACAAATTAATCTGTCCATTGGAGTTTCTCGCTCTGTCATATCCCTCTCAACATCAATAAATGCCTACAAGAATGTTCATTCAGAAGAGATAAAATAACCAATAAAATTGCAACAAAAGACCAGAATAAACTAATCCTCTTCTACCAAAACACACAGCATCAACTACAACATCACCTGTTTCTGATCTGGCGTGGGTTCATAAGGGAACTGAGCTTCAAATTCAACCGAGGCAGGAGTCTTCAGATAGGGAGGCCTTTTTTGTTTAAGCCTATGTAGATAGAGTTCCATCAGGTCCACAACCATCTTCTGTATTGCGACCTTCCCTTTAACCTTTCTTCTCTCCCATGCACCAGTATCATTCAACTTGCTTAATGCCTTTGGCTTCTTGGTTTCATTTGGCCTATAAATGCATACCCACCACATTTCACACAACATTCATTTGCCAAAGCAACTAAGCCCATGTTTGAATAAACTAATAAAAAAGCAGTTGCAAAAGAAGAAAATAAGAAAGTAAAATGAATTAAGTTTTTCAAATAAATGCAAATCAACTTATGCACTTCAAATTTATAAAATCTCTCTTATTTAATTTCTCCAACATCTAATTTTAACTTACATAAAAGAAGAAAATAACAAGTTGAAATGAATTAAGTTTTTCCTTAAATTAGAATCAACTTATGCACTTCAACTTTTATACAAACTATCTCGTTTAAGTTCTTCAAAAGTTTATTTTAACTTATATATAAGCTATTTTTAACTTGTTTGACCTTCTTATTTTCTTCTTCTCTGATAAGTGCTTGTTGAAAAGTTTATCCAAACACTGGCCTAAGTCAAGTTCATCATCACAACCATCACATTTGGTCCAACAAACAACAAAGCAAAATGCAGGATAGAAAAACTCACAGACTATATCTATAGAGCATTTTGGCAGCCTGGTTGACAGGTAGCTTCGCCATGCCGTCAGCATACTCGATGAAAACATACTCAGTGGTTTGTGAAGAATTCTTACCAGAATCGAACCTTATCCCAACAAACCTCCCAATCCCCACTTTCTTGTGCACAACATAGTCCCCAGAACGGAGCGTGTAAGGGTCGACCCTGTAGCTAAAAACTCCATCTTTGCTCTCCCTGTCGCCCTTCAACTTCTGCAACCCCTTCTGCTGCTGCTCCTTCACCATCCGCATGTACTTCCCCGCTTCCTCCGAGTCCATCACCGTTCTAAAAATCTCTTTCTTGCTGTACTCGCGGCGAATCCTCTCGTTGAGGACGGAAATGACGTCGTTGCGGGGTTCAGTCTTGGAGGGTGTGGAAGGGGCGTAGGGGCTGCGGGGTGTGTACACTGCATTGATGGGGAAAGGTAACAGCTTTTGCTTGTTTCTGAGTTTGGGGTGTGAAGGGTGTGTGAGGATGAAGATGCTCCATGTTGTGGGGGAAGAGTTGAGTTTGGAGATGAGGGGTGCGGGAAGGTGCGGACTTGGGAGGAGAGAAGAAGCAGTAGCCATGTGGGTGTGTGTTCAGAATGTCATTGGGGAAGAGGAAGAAGAAGAAGAAGAGTGTGGAATGAAAGGATAATTGGAAGATGAAGGTTTTGGAGGGGTTTTGTTGGAGGCAAGAAAGAAGGATTATATTGTGTGTGGTAATATATATGAAGAATACTAGTCGTGTAATATCAAGTAACCACCATTTTTGTTTCAAAGAGAAGCCTGTGGAGAGAGTGATGCCAACAAATTGATGCTCAGAATTCAGTGTTCAGATATTATTTCCGTGTATACCAAAATAAATATGTATGCTCAAAAAAATATCCAACACGATAACACAAGTAAAATTACTAATGAGTAATTATGATTAAGAAATATTTTCTTTTAATTAAAAGATTGTTTAAAATTTAAATATTAATTGAAATGTTATAATGAGTAAAATGAGAATACCAGAATTTCAAATTCATCTTGAAATAATGTAGAATCCGTCTAGAATTTTGGTTTTGAAATGGATAAGAATTTATTCAAGAATTGTTTTGCAAAATTCACTCTCTAAAATGGAGAAGAATATATTCTGAAACTCTTTTTCCAAAATGTAAAAAAATAAAGAAAATTGCTAGTACATTGATAGGCATGTTACCATAAACCTTCATCAATAGGATTACTTCAAGCCATTAATGGAGTGTCACAAAGATTAGTTTGAAGGTGATGTATGGGAATAAGAGAAGACAAGTATTGTGACAATGATAATTGAGAGAAAATGAATCACAAATTATGCAATAGGAGGTATGAAAGTCAATTATGATAGAGGCCACATGATTACCGGTTTTAGCTATGATAACAGTAGACGACGCAAATTGTTGGTTTGCTCAAAGTTAAAGGAATTTGTGATTGTAAAACGCAAAGATAATATAACAAAGAAGTTATAATATATACTTTTTTTAAAATTAAAATATAAGTTGATCATTTTTTTAGTGGGCCAAATAATTTTTTATAATTCATAATATATATCACTATTTCTTAAATTGAATATGGAATATATAAAATAAATTAGAATTATAAATATCAAAATTAATTATCGGTTATGTGTATAATATATTTTTTATTCAATAATTATTTTTTTATAATAGATTTAATAAGGTTATAATAAAAAAACTACAAAAATCAAATCATAAAATATTGATTTGATTTAGTTCAATTTTTTTTAAATAGAAACTAAACCAGACATTTAAATTTTTTTAGTTGACGTGACGTTTAATATATGAATGAATCAAATTACACTGTAAACCTTAATAATGACAATTTTAAAGGGATATAATTAATAATTCTGATAATTGATAAATTTTGATTAGTCTTGAGTCACTTTTATGAGACAATGGAGTTGATGGACTTTTTTTTGTATGACAAAAAAAAAATCATCCTGGAATACACATGCATCAAAACTAACAATCATCAAAGAATCACAGAATGAGCAATTTGAAATGTCTATGTTAAACACGTGATTCAAAATATTTTTATTACATTTTGTTGTTAGTGCAGCTTTTAACTTGGTATATAATATAAATATTAAGATATATTTTAAAATAAATAGGATTCATTTTTTTTTTTATTCTTAGTTCACAATGTTCTCTTCTTGCCTTTCTTAAACTTTTCTTATTGTTAAACCCACTAATTAATACCAGAGCAAGGTTCGATGGGGTTTGATACATTCTCAACCAATTTACCTAGTCTCAATGGTAAGAATTGGGATCGGTGGCGCGTTCAAATGAAAGCAATTCTTAAATAGTAAGAAGTTAGTTGAAGAAAGGTTTTATGTGCTTGGGGAGAAAGATACGGAGGCGGAGAAAAATCTTTATCGCGAGAACAAGAAGAATGATTGTAAAGTCACTTTCCTTATTCATCAATGTGTTGATGAAGCTCACTTCGAGAAGATTGCAGGAGCTGCAACTTCTCACGAGGCGTGACAATTTCTGGAGAAATATAACTGATTTCTTTAATCGAATTGTGACGCACACAAATGCCATAAAGAATTGTGGTGAGAAGATGATAGATCAGACAATCGTAGAGAAGATCTCTTGAGAAAGTGTTTACTATGTGTTTTAAATGTAGTATGTTTCACTTCATATATTTGAACCTATTTTAAATCAGGAATGAGTGTTAGATATGTGATTCAAAATATTTTTGTTACGTTTTGTTAGTTCAGTTTCTAACTTGGTATATAATATAAATACCAAAATATAATTCAAAATAAATAGGATTCATTTTTTCTTTGTTATTCTTGGTGCACTTTGTTCTCTTCTTACATTTCTTCTCACGGTTAAACCCAACAGTCTAGATCACCATATAACGATGATGACAATTAAACCGGTGCACTACTAAAACGTCAACCATAATGTTTGACAATATCACCGGAAAGATCAATAAGTTCATAAAAAAGAAATATCAAATCTTAATTTGGTAATATATAGAATTAAAAAAAAAAACTGTATATGATGGACATACCAATTAATTTGTTTATAGTAAATATAAAGGATAAATTAAGGTAAAAAAAAAACTCTACATATTTACTAAATATACTTATATTTATATTTGCATTCATCCTAATTAAATCATATTTCAAAAAAAAAAAAAAAAGGGCTTATCCAAAATATTAGGTAGGTAGTATTATTGGTGCAAACTTCTAACAAAATTTGCGTGTACACCGAACATTCGCTTTGCTTTTGCGTACGCACAAAACGAAAATCAGCCAAAACAGGTGGACGGGCAAGTAAGGGATTTAAATATTCTGATACCTAAATAAAATTTTAATTCCTTATTGCATCTAGCAATTACACTGGGAGAGATGCAAAAGCAAATATAAACATGTAGCCCAAAAGACTCTCTGATACGCTTCTTTTCCCATGAGTGGAGCCACAATAAATTACCTACAACAAGGAATTTAGAACCTACGCGACAAACTAGGATCAAGTTCTAAATTTCACTAAGAACTACTACACGTAATATATCATTCCAACTTCGATAAGACTAATATGAGGAATGTTCAGAGCTACAGATGGACCCCTGCAATTCTTCCGCAGAAATGAGTAGCCAATATCAATCACAAGCTTTTTCAAGAATGAGGATGATTTCCTTGCCTTCACATACGAGTGCCCCATTATATATGCAACCCCAGCATCCTTGGCTTGAATTAAATCCAAAAGCTCTTCTCTGACATCAGGATTCATACCAGGAATTTCTGGTAGTTGAAATCTTACTCGTCGTCTTCTAACTAATGGACTTTCATCATCATAAACCGATTGCAAACTTCGCAGGGTTACAGATCTGCTGCTAGGGACGGATATGTCCACGCTGGTATCCTCATGCTCAGAAACTATTAAACTTGAAGCATTTTCCAAGTTTCTAGAACTTATAACAGCCATCCTCCCATCAAGTGAAGAAGAAGCTTCAGAACTTGAGAACTGGGGTTCCACTGCTTCCATTTGGATAAATTCTGCTATACTCTGTATAAGATGATTCTCAAAATCTCCATCATCCCTTTGAATGTCCTTGTAACCATATCTGACAATGCACCTATACATTCGATATGGTCTGGGGCAAACTCGTCCGATAAGAAAACGTTCCTCGGGTGAAACATATGGAACGGGAACTGATTTTACACAAACAAAAACCAACACCTTGTGAAATGCAGGAAGATTTGTTACAAAATGGGAAAATATAGAAGGTATTCCAGTTGCTAGTTCAGTGTAGATGAGACCAATCCCTGGGACACGAACAATGCCAAGGCTCGGGCCCAATCCCAGTAACCATTTCAATGAAACTTTGTTATGCAGATCATAGCTGTACTTCCGACGAGTTCCATAATGCCATACGTACATAACAGCCATGAAGATGAATGATAAGACAAGAGGAACCCATCCTCCCTGAGGCACTTTGATGAATGCTGCTGATAGATATACTCCCTCTATCACCCAAAAGAATACAAGAAATGCTATAGCAGTGAGCACACTTTTCTGCCAGACAAAGATTGCAACTAGTGTCATCAGAAATGTAGTCACGAACATAACTGTCATACAAGCGAGTCCTGTAAACCAAATACCCAAAAACAATTAACTTCAATATGACAAACAAAACACATGTTGTGATGAGAGTAAACAAAAAAGATTTACGCTGATTTGCCAAGCAGGTAATACATGACCAAAGTAGAAGACATGATCACGTGAATACTAATACTACCTTTCTGTGTACTTGACACGAAGGTAGTATTTATGCAATTAAGATATTCTATATTGAAAAGGATTCTTTTATTTCCTCGTATCATTACAACCACAAGCTAATAACTGTGCATATGAAGCATCTATTTTGACTTTTGATCAGTTTGGACTGACTATCAATTCAATTTCATAACTGGGGAAATCATTGCTCTTAAGCACTGTACAGCTAATTGACACCAGAGTGCAACATCGCAATGTTTCCAATTATACCAATTTTGATCATATGATTATCAATGAAAAGAGATACAGATGTAACGAGACAAACGGTCTTGTGTTTCTGTGTGTGGGAATAAATTACCATATGCATTTCCAATTATGGTTGTGTCCTGAAATCCAATAGTTATAGCAAGTGTTAGGATCATAAGTATCCAATTGATTTCTGGGATATAGATCTGTCCATATATATGTTTTGAGGTGTGTACAACTTTGACTCGGGGAAAGCAACCAAGCGCATGACACTGCTTGATGATTGAGAAAGTTGCAGTTATAACAGCTTGACTCCCAACTATTGCGGCAAGGGTGGCAATAACAAAAACAGGCCAAAACACAGGGTCTGCATGACAACCAAAATCATTAACAATTGTACTAATTTAAAGCAGTGTGGGAAATATCAATAAGTCAGCTTGCGGGATCAACTAACCAGGTATTGAGTCATAAAAGCTGTTATCGACAGAGCTGAGGTTTTTAGACAAGAAAGCAGCTTGACCCATGTACTGTACTACCAAACATGGGTATATAACAAACGCAAATGCA